TGTGACAGTGTCACTGTGGGACCCTCACCCTGTGGCACTGTGAGACCCCCACAAGTTGGGACCCCCACACTGTGATAGTGTCATTGTGGGACCTCCATGTCATGACAGTGGCACTGTGGGACCTCCGCAGGGTGGGAAGGTGTCATTGTGGGACCCCCAGGTTGTGTCACTCCAACACAGTGGGACTCCTATATTGTGACACTGCGGGACCCCAAAGATGTGACAGTGTCATGGTGGGACCCCCCACATGATGGGACCGCTGTGCTGTGACAGTGTCATGGTGGGACCCCCACATTGTGTCACTGAGAACCCCAAGCTGTAACAGTGTCTCTCTGGAATCCCTGTGTTGAGACCCACATGTTGTGATACTGTGGGACCCCCAAGCCATAGCAGTGTCACTGTGGGACTCTTATGTTGTGGCACTGTAGGACCCCCGTGCAGTGGGACCCCAATGTTGTGACAGTGTCACTGTGGGACCCCCAGGTTGTGTCATCCCAATACAGTGGGACCCCCACCTTCTGACACTTTGGGACCCCCACGGGATGTGACCCCACCATTGTGACCCTGAGGGAGCCTCATGCTGTGACAGTGACACTGTGGGACCCCCCAAGCTGTGACAGTGGCCCTGGGGGTCACTGTCCTTGTCATGGGGGGTCGTGCCCTTGGGGACACTCCTGGGGTCACCCAGAGGTCAGCTCAGGGAAAAAAGGAGGTCCCAGCCCCCCCAAAGCTGAGCTGGGGGAGAGGCTCGAGAGCTCAGCCAGGAGCTGATTGTGGGAACAGCTGGAATTTTGGGGGAGTCTTGGGGGTCCCTGGAGCCTTTGGATTGGTGCCTGGAGGTTCCTGTTCTGGGACCCCCCCAAGACCTTGGTGGTGGTGTCCTGGGTGTCCCCGGAGTCTTGGAATCACTGTCCTGGGGGTCCCTGTTGTGGGACCCCCCCAAAGCTTGGTGGTTGTTCTGGGGGTCCCTGGAGCCTTGGAATCTGTGTCCTGGGGGACCCTGTTCCGGGAATCCCCCCAAACCTTGGTGGTGGTGTCCCGGGGTCCCCATGGCCACTGTGGCATTTCCCAGTTTGTTTTCCGTAATTTTCCTTTTTTCTGGATATTTCAGGACCCTCAGACCCCTCGTTGCTCTAAAATGCTGATTATTGCTCTAACCCACTGATTTTTCCCAGAAATCAGTGCAATTCCTGGGAATTCTTGGGAGCTTGTGGACAGAATCCTGGGGGTTTGTGGCTGAAATCCACAGGAGCTCATGGGTGGAATGCATGGGGTTTCATGGCAAAATCCGTGGGGGTTTGGAGTTGAACTTCCTGGGAGTTCAGGGCCAGAATTCCTGGGTGTTCGTAACTGAAATCCATGGGAGCTCCTGTGCAGAATCCATGGGGTTTGTGTCTGAAATTCTCAGGAGTTCACGGCCAGAATTCCTGGGAGTTCATGGCTGAAATCTATGGGAGCTTGTGGGCAGAATCTATGGGGGTTCACGACCAGAATTCCCATGGGAAGCTCCTCTTCATCCCAAAGATCTGGACAGTGGTAACGGCGCTGCTTCGGCCCTGATAACAGCTCAAGGAGCAGTGTCAGCTCCTTCCGGGACTCTCTCCCGGGAATTCTGGGAAGCAGATCCATCCCCCTTTTCCCTTAACCCCTGTGTGTCTCCTCCCCTCCCCACAGGATCCTGGGGAAGGGCAATGCTGGGTGACTGAAATCCATGGGAGCTCCTGGGGAGAATTCCTGGGGGTTCACGACAAAATCCATGGGGCTTCAGGGCCAAAATTCCCATGAGTTCATGTCTGGAATTCCTGGGGGTTTGTGGCCAAGTCCATGGGGATTCAGGGCTGAAATTCCCAGGACTTTATGGACAGAATTCCTGGGGAAAATATGGGGTCTCTCAGGCAGAATCCATGGGGGTTCAGAGCTGAAATTCCTGGGAGTTTGTGGCCAAAATTCCTGGGAGTTCATGGCTGAAATCCATGGGAGCTCCTGGGCAGAGTCCATGGGGGTTCATGGCCAGAATTGCCTTGGGAAGCTCCCCCTCATCCCCAGAGATCTGAACGGTGGTACTGGGAACGGGGTGGTGCTCCGTAGCAGTTCTTCCCGGGAATCCCCTCCCTGAATCCCACGTGTTCTCCCCTCCCTCGCAGGCTCCTGGGGGAGGGCAATGCCGGGCTCATGGCGCTGGCGACGCCGACGGAGTCGACTCCCGGGAAGCGGATCCGCAAACCCTCGCTGCTCTACGAGGGCTTCGAGAGCCCCACCATGGCCTCGGCTCCGGCCCTTCCCAACCCTCAGGCCAACCCGCCGCCTCCCGAGGTTTCCAATCCCAAAAAGCCCGGCCGGATCACCAACCAGCTCCAGTACCTGCACAAGGTGGTGATGAAGGCGCTGTGGAAGCACCAGTTCGCGTGGCCCTTCCGCCAGCCCGTGGACGCCGTCAAGCTGGGCCTGCCGGTAATTCCTGAGGGTGGGAATGCCGGGAATTCGTGTGGGTGTGCGACCCCTCCCCTGCCCCAGTCCTTAGTCCCACTCAGGCAGAGGTAGATCCAGCTTTGATTTTAATCCCGCTCGGCCACAGGTGTCACCCCATTATCCCATCCTGCATCCCCCCCCGGGGCTCCCGCTATCCCGGAGGAGGGATCCCGATGTCCCTACAAAGTTATGGATGAGGGATATTCCCGGCGCCTCCCGACCTAATCTCTTGTGCCCTGAATGCGTTTTGCAGATGTCTCCCATCCATGAGTTTGTAGAAGACATCCCGAGGCCCCCAAATTTAAGGCACCTGTGGCGCCCAAGGAGTTAAAGCCCGAGGAGGTAAATCCAAACCGGAGGGGTTGCTGTTCCCATTCGGTTTAAGCTCGACTTAAGCCCAGCTTAAATTGCCCCCTAAAATTTGATTTTAATTGCCCTTCCACTCACCTTCAATTTAGGTTCAGGTCAAGATAGGTTTAGTTTAAATTCACTCTAAATTTGCTGTAGTTTACCTTTAAATTTAGGTTAGGTTCTTGGTAAGTTTATCTTTAACTTACCTTACGTTTAGCTTAAATGCAGCTGAAGTTTAGCTTTAATTCATCTTAAGTTTAGCTTACATCCACCTTAGATTTGGTTTCAATCCGTGTTATAAATCCACCTTAAGTTTAGTTTGAATTCAGCTTCTGTTTCCCTTAAAGCTGGCTTTAATTTGGCTTAAAACCACCTTCAACTTTGGTGCAATTTATCTTAAGTTCAGTTTAAATTCACTTTATGTTTAACTTCAGTCCACCTTCAATATGGTTTTAATTCTCCTAAAATTTAGCTTAACTTCATCTGAAGTTTAACTTTAACTCATCTTAAATTTACCTTAAATTCATCCTAAATTTAATATAAATCCACTTTAAATGTAGCTTAGATTCAGTTTGAACTTAGTTTAAATCCACTGTAAGTTCAGCTTCGATTTGCCTTAAGTTTAGCTTAAATCCACCTTAAGTTCAACTTAAATTCTCCTTAAATTTAGTTTAAATCTGGGTTCAATTTAGCTTCAATTCACCTTGAATTTAGCTTCAATTCACTTTAAGTTTATCTTAAATTTCTCCTAAATTTAGTTTACATCCACCTCAAGTTTAGCTTAAACCTATCTCAAGTTAAGCTTAAATCCACCTCAACTTTAGCTTAAATTCCCCTTAAATTCAGCTCAAATTCCCACTCCCACCCCTGTGTCACCTCCCCGCTGCTCCCACCCTCTGACCACCCCGACCCCCCCTTGGGAGCCGCTTCCGACAACATTCCCAGTCATTCCCGCCACATCCACAGGGAGTTCCTCCCCTTCCCCCCTTCCCACCCCCTGAGCCCCCCTTCAGCTGAGCACGAGTGACCCCGCTGTGACCCCCCGTCCCCGCTGTCGCTGTTTTCCCAGGATTACCACAAGATCATCAAGCAGCCCATGGATATGGGAACCATCAAGAGGCGCCTGGAGAACAACTATTACTGGGGGGCAGCCGAGTGCATGCAGGACTTCAACACCATGTTCACCAACTGCTACATCTACAACAAGGTGGGACCGCCCCCAAAACACCCCTGGCACCCCCAAAAGTCGTGCCCGGCATTCCCTGACTCCAGATCCAACGATTCCCACAGCCCACGGATGACATCGTGCTGATGGCGCAGACCCTGGAGAAGATCTTCCTGCAGAAGGTGGCCCAGATGCCTCCGGAGGAGCAGGAGATCGTGGTGCCCGTGGCCAAGAACAGCCATAAAAAGGGGGCGTCCAGGGCAGCAGGTGAGGAAAAGGGGGGCCCTAAAAGTTGGGAATGGGTGGGGGTGGCAGTTGGGGGGCCCTAAAAGTTGGGAATGGGTGAGGGTGACGGTGGGGGGTCCCCAAAAGCTCCACCAGGTGCTTTGTGTCCCTTGGGGTGACATTGAGGGGTCCTGGGGGTCCCCAGACCTGGCACCAGTATTCCAGGGTGTCCTTTGGGATAAAACTGGTATTCCTAGAGGTCCCCAATCCCCGTCTCCAGGTGTTGTCTGTGTCCCTTGGGAACAGTGGGATGACAGTGGAGGGCCCAGGGGGTCTCCAACCCTTGGCTCCATGTATTCCCTGTATCCTTTGGGAGGCCCCTGGGGGGCCCCAGCCCTTTTTCCCCTGGGTGTCCCTTGGGATAACAGCAACATTCCCAGTTTCTTTTCTCTGCCCGTTTGCAGCGCTCCTGGCGGGACTGACGGCAGCTCAGCAGGTCCCGGCCGTGTCCTCAGTGTCCCAGCCCACAGTGTACCCCCCCACGACCCCCGAGATCCCCACAACCATCGTCAACATCCCCCACCCCTCGGTCATCTCCGCCCCCATCCTGAAATCCCTGCATCCCAACGCTCCGGCCGTCCTGGCCCCGCCCGCGCCCACACAGCCCGTGGCCAAGGTGGGAATTCTGGGGGAGATGGGATGTGGGGGATCGAGGGGGCTGGGACGGGGGTTCTGGGTGTTGGGATGGGGGTTTTAGACACTGGGACGAGGGATGTTGGTGCTGGGATGGAGTTTCCGGATGTTGAGAGGAGGGTTTGAGATGCTGGGATGGAGGTTCCAGATGTTGGGATGGGGGTCCCACATGTCAAACCGGGGGTCCCAGATGCGAGGACGAGGGTCCCACCTGCCAGTCCACCTTCCACCCTCCCCCTCTCGACCCCTCTGATCCCACCTTCCCTCTTCCCAGAAAAAGGGGGTGAAGCGGAAAGCCGACA